ACAAGTATTTTTTCAAAAAGAGATCTAAGTCCCGGTCTTATACATACTAAGGTATTTTGGGATGAAATAATATGATATCTTGGATTTGCTCAAAATTGTCCAGTGGTGGGGATGGAGGAAGTGTGAAGCAGGGGAGCAGTGTACAGATGAAACAGAATTGGCCGTGAGTTGATGACTGTTGAGGCTGGATGATGGGTACACTGGAGTTCATCATCATATTCTGTTTTTGTGAAAATGTCCATAACAAAAAGTGGTCCTTGTCTCACCATGCATACCAAATATTTCTGGATGGATTAAAACTCCAGGTAAACAAAACCACAAAGCCTAGAGATTTGCATGCTACCAAGTCATTGTTAGTTTATAGTGTAATGGTTATTTGTTTAAAGCCCTTAATTTAAAAAAATGTTCTGGACTTTAAAAAAAGGAAATCACATAGTACTAAAAGAAAACATTTGTAGCTGTTTATATAATCTTCAGGGAGGGACAAACTTCTACATGTGACAACAAAATCAGAGATCCTGAAGATTTTGCTGAAACAAACGTAAAAGCTTTAGTATATCAATAAAGACCATAAACAAAAGTAAAAGCCAATCAACACACTTGAGAAAAATATTTCTAGTATATAAATATCAAAGGATCAATATAATAAAAAGCTTTTGCAAATCAATAAGAAAATATGAATGTTCAGTATAAAAATGAGTAGTGCATAGGCAAGTCACCAATGAGTTATAAATGACTGACAAATGTGTGAAAAAATGTCTAGCCATAGTAATCAAAGAAATGCAAGTGAAAACAGCCAAGCCATTTGTCAATCTCAAATTGTTAAGAGTACAGGGAAGCCCACACATGAATTGAGGAGTTTGGCTACAGCTGATAGAGGATGGGAGCCACTGAAGGACCATGAGCAGGGGTCATCTGTGGACAGAGGAACCTGGTACCTTCTTGAGGGTGGAGAACTGTGAGATTGCAGTCTGGGCCAGCAGCCCAGGTGTGAGGAGGAGCACAAAGCATGAGGGGAAACCAGTTGGGTTGAAGGCATTTGAAGGAAAAACCAGCAGGTCTTGATGGTTAGCAGAGAGAACAAATCAAGATGGCCAGTGGTGTGGTGTGACCGGGAGGGCAAGGGCACCGCTGAAGGCAGCGGGGGTGCTGGGACTAGGTGAGGGGAAGATCAAGGCTTGGTTTTTGACAGTATGGGTCATTGTTTTAGTCTAGTGTCTCATGACTAGTGACTGGCAACTGACTCAAATGATTTAATCTACAGAAAGAATTTGTTGCCTCAAACAGTTGACAAGTCCTGGGCTAAAATTTCAGGCACATCTGGATCTGGATGCTCAGGATATCATCAGGTGTCTTTTTGAGATTCCCACCCCAAGGAAGGATAGAAATGGCCATGAGCAGCTCCAGGCTCACATTCTACCAGCTGAGCATGGGTCCTAGAGTGGCTGTATTGGCCTGGACTGGGAAACGTGCCCAGTACTGAATGCTCAGTGTAACTGATGAGCAGGCTAAGGTCACATGCACTTCCCTGGAGCCAGTGGGTGGGGTCAGCCCTCCCAAACAATATCATCCACAAAGGAGAACTGGAGCTGAGCAGCAAAAACAATAAATGATCACTACATTCCACGTCTCTCCAAGATCTACACAGCTCCCCCTTGTACAATTTTTTAAAAAATTTCTGTTTACCGTAATGCAACTATACCTCACAAAACTTAAAACACACTTGTCCCATCTCCAGAAGGAAACATTCCAAGTTCTCACCTATTTACCACACCCTTGGTGATTCTTGATAATGGGCTGTCTGTTTCACAAAGTACTGAGCCAATTCCTAAAGGTCTTTCAGTGTTTTGCTAGACTACAGCCGTGGAGGTAAACGCAGATAGATTAAAGAACAAAAATCCTCTCCATTGAAGAGGGGAGATGAAGAAACTCATGCAGTGGTCAAAGGCCCATGGCAAGGTCAACACGCTCCACCAGTGTGGGTGAGGGTAGTGGCCCACCTCTTGGCGGCTCTGGTTCTGCTGTCCCACAAAGAAATTTTGTGGCCATACACAAAAGGAGGGTTGAGGGGTCACCTCCCATTGGTGCAGATTTGGGGGAGGAAAACATTAGGGGCTGAGTAATCCCCAGCCTTTGTTTGTGATTTTTTTCTGGCAGTACAATTTCCTTCATCATTAGGAAGCTTTCAGTGAAATTGTACTCCGTCATCCCCAAAGCTATTAACCAAACTAGAGATCTTACTGAAAGTTGTCATTCTTGAATTGAGTCCCTGGTGATGGTGTTGTGGGAGAAGGAGGGGTTGTCTCTTAGCAACAGGCTTTGGTACCCTGCCCATCCCAGGAAGGAGCCCAGGGTTCTGTGGCCTCTAATAAGGGCTCTGCCACAGGGCAATGAGAATGCGTAGTGTAGGGTGGGAGGCAGAGTTCATTTGCGCCTTTCCACTCAGCCTGCATCCCAGTGAATAGCTGCTTATAATGGAAGCAACAGTTGCCTCTGTTGAACTGGAAGGGCACAGCAGGAGGGCTTCAGGAGGGTCTGAGGAGTCAAGAGCCTTTCAGGCCCCAGGTTTGTCTCCCTCTGTGTTTCCAACTTGAACTGCCTTTAGCTAGAAGCAGAGAGCTGGCTCTTAATTATCTGACTCTCAGCCGTGTTGGATTACTGGCCTCAGGCAGAAAGGGCCTCTCTGGGCAAAGCAGCCTTTTCTTCCTCTCTGCTTTCAGCCAGTGTCTGTTTCTTGCTGTACCTTTCTGAGGCCATGAGAAAGCCCACACCCCAACATCATGATGTTTTCCTACAAGTCCCCTGTCACCTCAGCCCCAGAGATGGTGGGAGAGTTCAATCAGCTGCTTTGCTTCTCTGCAGCAGGGTTCACCAACTTGACTAGGGAAGCAGTACTATCCCACTCCTCACTCCCCTTAGTTCAGCTAATTCCTCCTTAGGGTCTGTCACTTTAAAAAATTCTATTTCTCATTCTAATTTCTGAGTTAGGACTTTCTCCTGGTCCAGGTAACACAGATGCGACTCCAACTGGCTTATGCAAAAAAGGGGATTGATTGGCTCACATAATTGAACAGACCAGGATCTCAGTGTCTGGAAGAATCCCTTTTTCTCCATCTCAGTCCTGCTTCTCTGTGTTGGCTTCATTCCCAGGTGGTTTCTCCCAGAGAAGACAAAGATGGCCTTTGCTGCTTTGACTTTCCCCACCAGCTTAGAAACCTGAAAGAGGATGCTTTTCTCCAGTAGTTCTAGAGAAGTCCTGGATAAATGACTCATTATGCAGTGAGAAAAGACTCATTGATTTAACTTGGTGATCTGTGCCCATTCCAGGATTCTGATTGGCCAGGCCGATATCGCCTTCTTATTCCTGGAACCTGGGTTGGACCATCAATCCCCACTCAGACCACATGGACTGAGAAAGTGGGGAAGGAAGGATGGTTCCTCAAGGTCAAAGCAGGGTTTTGTTACCAGGAGGAGGACTGGGTGCTGAGCTGGCAAACATCCCCCCACATATCTATGTGGAAATGCCACAAGGCAAACAGAATTCAGAAGCAGGTCAGGATGGAGAGGTAGAGCTGAGAGTCATTGGCTTAAAGGTGTGAGTGAAGCTGTGGGAGTGAACCAGACTACCTGGGAGAAGACAGAGGCAAAGGGGGCGGGAAGGGAGACTTCCCAACAGGAGACAGGATGATTAGGAAGACAGTGAGAGGAGGTCTGAGGACACAAATGGGGAAGCTTCATGGCAATCAATGAAGATGAGAGGTCTGTAGTATCAGCTGAGGGGCAAATGGGTGAAGGAGACTCTTGATGACAAGGGGACTGTCTGATTAGCAGGTCGTCTGTGACCCAGAAGAATGTAGTGACAACAGAGGGTGGTTGATTCCCAGTTGCAGGCAGTTAGGAAGAGGAGGGCACTGAGAGGAGGGCACTGGGAGTAGAGATCCCGTGAGGCAGGGGAAGGATGATGGGTCAGAGAGAAGGGAGGATGGGCAGTGGGAGTTGAGGGTGACCAGGGGTGGGATGCCAGGAAAGGTGGTGGCTTGTGCCACAAAGGATCTGAGTAAGACAAATATGGTAGCCCTTGGAGCAAAGGGCAGGGCAGGGGCACTTATTGGAAAGCAAAGAAATCTGAAAAAGAACCTAGGTACCTGGAGTGGCAGGAATGGGAGAATGTGGTTCAGAAGCAGGGACAGGAACAGTGATACACAGGTACCATCAGGTGAGGTGGCATCTTGGTCACTGCAACAGGGTATCAGTAGTCCAGCCTGTCTGATGGGTGTGGTTTGCACAACATGGAAATTGAACAGCATCTTTTTTAAAGGATTTTTTGTGGAGATGTAACATACAGCCAAGTATATATAGTGCACTAATCTTAAGTATACAGCTAGATTGTTTATGTATGTACACACCTGTATGTCACCACTCATATGAAGATATGGAACATTTTCAGCATCACATGAAGGTCCTTCCTGCCCCTTCTTGGCCCATATAGCCCCCAAGGGTGACCTCTATTCTGACTTCTGTCATTGTCAACTTGGTTGTTCTCAAACTCTGCATTGTATGGAATCCGATGGTGTGCACTCTGCTGGTTTGGCTTTTTTCACACAACCTAATATTGAATGGATTCTTCCATGCTGCATGTGCCAGTGGTTCATTTGCTCACTGCTGGCTAATATTCCATTATGACTATACCACAGTTTATCTGTTTCACTGGCAATGGGCACTTGGGTTATGCCGAGGTTGGAGTTATTATAAATAAACCGAATGCCTTTTTTTTCCTTAAAGAATTCTCATTCTTTCTCACTCTGCCATATGTACAGGCCCTGGCACAGGTACCAGAGCAGGCCAGCCCCTTCTGGGAGGTTAGGCCATTGGTCCCAGCTGGCCCCTCCGTTCTGAGCATGTGTTTCCTGGGAAAGTCAATTTCCTCACGGGTGGGGGATATGGGGTGGGGGGAGGGGTGAAGGAATACCAGCCTCTAAGGCTTCCTCGCTCTTTTCCAGCCTCTTCGCCCTGAGCCGTCCTGACCACGTGGGGGGGCCCGCCTGCAGCCCTTCATGTGCGCGCCCGGCTGACCTGCGGGTGGGCCGCGCTGGAGCCTGGGCGCCGCGGGGGCGGCGGGGTCATGGCCTCGCTGGACCTCCCATACCGCTGCCCCCGCTGCGGGGAGCACAAGCGCTTCCGCAGCCTGTCGTCGCTGCGGGCGCACCTGGAGTACAGTCACACGTACGAGACGCTCTACATCCTCTCCAAGACCAACAGCATCTGCGACGGCGCCGCCGCAGCGGCCGCAGCCGCGGCCGCCTCGGGTTTTCCGCTGTCCCCGGAGCCCGCCGCCCTGCTAGCCGTGCCCGGCGCTCGGCGCGAGGTTTTTGAGAGCACGTCCTTCCAGGGCAAGGAGCAGGTGGCCGGGCCGTCGCCCGCAGCGCCACACCTGCTGCACCACCATCACCACCACGCGCCCCTCGCCCACTTCCCCGGCGACCTCGTGCCCGCCAGCCTGCCCTGCGACGAACTGGCTGAACCCGGCCTCGTGCCCGCCGCCGCCGCGCGCTACGCGCTGCGTGAGATCGAGATTCCGCTGGGGGAGCTGTTCGCCCGCAAGTCCGTGGCCTCGTCGGCTTGTTCGACGCCCCCGCCCGGGCCGGGCCCCGGGCCTGCGTCCGCCTCGCCCGCGTCCCCTTCTCCCGCCGATGTGGCTTACGAGGAGGGTCTGGCGCGCCTCAAAATCCGCGCGCTGGAGAAGCTGGAGGTGGACCGGCGGCTGGAGCGGCTGAGCGAGGAGGTGGAGCAGAAGATCGCTGGCCAGGTGGGCCGGCTGCAGGCTGAGCTGGAGCGCAAGGCGGCCGAACTGGAGACTGCGCGGCAGGAGAGCGCGCGGCTGGGGCGCGAGAAGGAGGAGCTGGAGGAGCGCGCTTCCGAGCTCTCCCGCCAGGTGGACGTGAGTGTAGAGCTCCTGGCCTCCCTCAAGCAGGACCTGGTGCACAAGGAACAGGAGCTGAGCCGAAAGCAACAGTGAGTAGCCCGCAGAGCCATGTAGTTGATGTGCGCTTGAGTGTTCCAGAATGGGTGACAGCATGGAACACTGTGCCCCTGCCACCACCATGAGTGTGCGTGAGTGGCCGTGGTTTTGTAATACGGGATCTGTGGCCACGAGCATGAAATGGTGTGTGGGGCCAAGAGTGTCATGATGGAGTGTATTTGGGACCGTGAGTCAGTCCATGGCAATATGACCATGTGCCTCACTGTGAAAATTGTCTCTCTTTCTTTTCTGTCTTCCTAGCCAGGCCTGCCCCTGCATGTTGTCTACTCAAAGACGTGGCTTAATTCTCCCCTCTCCATTTTCCATCATCGGAGTTTCCTTATTTACTGTATCATTCCTAAAAGCATACACACACAGAAGGTTGTTTACCCCATCTGCCCTAATGCCTCCTCCTCTTAAGCTTCTGACCTTTTTCTCTCCTTGGAAAACACCTTCAAAGTATTCTCTGTACTCCTGGTCTCCCATTTCCTTTCCCATCTTCTCCCTTAACCCACTTTGATCAGGTGTCTACCTCCACCGCTCTTCTCCATGTGATCAACCTGTATGCTGCCAAGACCCAGTCATCATCTTACTTGGCCCATCAGTTGCATTTGACATAGCTGATCCTTGAAATAATTCCCTTCCAGGACACTCTCCTGGGATTTCCTAGCTTTTGTCTGCTTCTCAGTCACCTTTTCTGGCTTCTCATTGCTGTAGTCTTTAAATGTAGAATTATGAAATATATAGATGTTGTTTTTCTGTCCACATTGTGATATGAGCTCCATGGGCGCAGGAATTTTTCACTGGTTTGCCCACTGCTGTATCCCCAATACCCTAGAACAGTCTCTGACACCTACAAAGTGCTCAGTAAATGTTGAATGGATGCATAGACAACTGTGAATGTGTTTGGGAGTAAATACTCATATCACACATAAACATGATGTTGACCCTTAACACATTTGAACTGCAAGGGTCTATTTATATGGAGATCTTTTTTTTTCTCATTATATCAGCATTGCACTGGTTTATTTTTCTTTAATTTTTTATTAAGATATTATTAATACACACTCTTATGAAGGTTGCACATGAAAAAACAATGTGGTTACTACATTTACCCATTTTATTAA